TTCGGACAGGAAAAAAAGCAGGCGATCCAGCAGAGCTCGCTAGATTTCATCTCCACTCGAGGCGGAGAGAAATTAAGAGTGATGGACGGCTACCTGTGGTGCTGCCAGGTGGCCTCGGTCATGTGGGTTCGTGACGTAAGGGGTAAAAGAATCTTGAGGTCATGGGGCTTCCCCTGACCTGGATTCTATCTCTCCATCACCGGCAGAATCGCTGATTAATGCCTACAGTTCAAAATAGTCATTTTGACTGACTGGAGTCTATGCTGGGTAATTGAACGTAGTGAATATGCAAGTTTATTGTGTCTAATAAATGCTGTCTATTAATGATATAGTCTCCAGTGGCAGGATGAAATGTTCACTGACATACGCAAATAGTAAAATGCATATATAATAACTTACTTTTTCAATTCCTGCTCTTCTTTCTTCTGGTAAAGAGCGCCCTCTCTAAGTATTGCCGCAGCATTCAGTCGAATTGGAACATTGTCATTCTGTCAGCCAAAAAAAATTCATGACTTTAGTATGAAAAGATTTCTACAGTCTTATACATGCACACACAGACCCTTAATTAATACTTGTGTAAGAGTTTGACAACTGAACTCTTTTAATTTAAATTTGCATCAAATAAAAGTACAATCAATAGGAATTGAAACCTCAATACAATATCAAAACCCTAGCCAGGATTTTCTCTATGAGTGGAACAAGTGAAAAGACTATAACCAGAGATTACTTTGTGTTAATTGTTTTAATTTTATCAGACACAAATTTTATCTTTGCAGAACCCTGAAGCTGAAATGAATAAACATGAATAGATGAATGATTTTTAACCTGCCTACAAATAACAATAATGCAAAATTTAGCTGAATTTATTGATGGTGCACTGAATGAATTGGATTGAGAATTAGCTATCAGTACATTGAATTGCTGACTGCAGAGGGCGCTAGAGTAGAATCAGGGTCCAGAAAATAATATTTATTGTGCTTCTGATTTTGGAAATTGACCAGAATCTTTTTATATCAAATTGTGGGATTTAGCACTATCAGATTTAATACTTGGATGAGAGAGTATAAACTATGACACACACTGATTGGCATCAGCTTGAAGCAAGGTACAAGTACTTACCAGTGTTGGAGGTAGTGGTCTGGCACGGTTCTTTTCAAAATTCACTTTACTGTCCTGTTCAGCAACAATTTTCGCTAGTCGATACTTTGCTTTTGCCGATTTTTCTGCATTTGCACAAGCAAACTGTGACGTAGATGACTGAAGAAGTCTTTCCTGTGAATACAACATGAATAGTTGAAAACAGGCGTGATGAAAGACGTACACATGTAGGTATTCATAATGAGAAATGAATGTAAGTAAGACACAGCGAGGGATTGGGGACTCACGCAGCAAATATACTGGCTATGCTCACGTAACAAATCATTAGAAAATCAGCAAGTCAATATAAACTAGAAATAACACATAACCACTAATACAATATCGGTAGTAGTTATTACACATCTGTCACTGTATTTCCATATGTTACATCATGCTTTGATTATGAACAGTATTGCACAGGGTATCTACACCCAACTATATTGCGAAATGAGAATGCCAAATATGGATTGATTATATGCACTATGCACTATTCTTATAATAACTTCATATCACTCTAAATCAACATCACATATTGTCCATTTATGCTCTTCTATAATTACCATAGAATAACAACCCCCCCCCCCCCCACACACACACACATAGATATCTTACCAACGTTTAAATGACACACATTGGATTAACTTTTAATATGGTTGAATTAACTTTTAATATAGTTGCGAAAAAACGTTAAAACGTGTTCCTAGTAAAAGGGGAAGGTATGGTACAATTATATTAATATTGATATAAATTGAACCACATCTTCCCCTTTACTAAACCCAAACTACGCAAATTGGACTTAAATTCGATTAAATATTAATATAAATCATGAAATTAGTAAGGGTCGTCACAATGTAGGTGCTGTCGTCACAAGTTGGTGTCAAGTTAAATTGAAGTCGTCACAACATTGTTACCACACACGTACAGCAACACATGCACAGGCATGGCCAGGCCATTTATAGTGTTGATGACAAACATGACAGCATACTGCAGATTGCAAACATCTTTAGGTACTTTACCTCGGATTCCTTTCTGCTCGAATCCTTTCTTTTCGCAAGGTCTTTCATTTCTTTAGGTTTTGCATATGTGGTTTTGGGGACCTGTGAATGCAGAAAGTTTTTACAAATTCAGAGTTATGAAATAACACAGCACTTTGCATTCAATTTGGTGGTGAAAATAATCAAAAGTTGTCATTTAGTTCAGTGCTATTGCTTCAAGACGTTCATCTGCACATCTTTTTGATCCATGCACAGTGTTTAATATTCACCAATTACCGGGGGGTAATTTATAATTAATTGATGATGTTTAACAATTTCTGAAAGATTCTGCTGTAATTCTCTCGTTGAAAGAACCTTAGTAGATTAATCAATATACACTGGTACTTTTGTGATTTCTTCTGTCTTGTTGAATTCATGAAAATGCTTCTCATGAAATAAAAATGGTTTGTATTATTAACAATCAAAAACAGAATAGCGTGGTTGTTCCATGGCCATGCTAACGGATAATGCTAGTCATGCATAAACACCAAGAATGCTACATGACTGCTTCTTGCATGTGCAGATTGTGAGAATGTTTCTCATGCACATACACCCAGCATGCTGCATTGCTTGTTGCATTTCGATCAAGACAGAGTTGATGACTTCTGTATTGCGCATGTCTCTAATTACAATGTACATGCAACATACACGCTATGTTGTCCTTGGTTGTATCTCACACAAAAGCTCAAATGTCTACTTGTGGTATTGGATAACTGAAACAATATACTCACAGGCCTGTGTGGTTTCAAAGTTGGTATGGGTTCAGGCATGGGTACACTTTTTGGTCTTGGCTTTGTTATATTAAATGGTTTGGGCTTAGTGGGTGCTTTGCTCTGCCTCTTTGTCACTGCTACATTAGCAATCTTCTCTGCCAAGTGTTGAATTAGATCATTGAGTTGAGGAAGCCAGCTATTTCAAAATGAAACATTAAAAAGTTAATTAACTCAAATATGTTCTTTTCACTCATAACGCCTTTCAGAATCAGTTGATATTATTACAAGTATATGGGTAATGAGTTTGATAACACTAGTTGAATGTCACAACACATTAGAGAAAACATACTCCTTGAAACCTGTGTGACAAAGTGATGCACTTCAATACATGTACATGTACACTGAAATTAAACAGTTATAAGAAAATTACTAGTAATAAACCAAAATCTTTTCAAAAATGGTAGACCAGAGCGAAATATACAAATAGGTAGGTCAAAGTTCATATCATCAGGTCTAATCACAATTATTAGATAATACTTAACATAGTTACATTCGAAAATATTCACTACCATGAGTTGAGTACTAATTGCATATTATCAGAATAAACTCCTTCACGTCTCGAAACAAAAATGACCACATGCACAATAAATTTGCCAGAGAGAGAGACTACGAGCAGTATCGACCAACAACAACTTATGAAATCAGGCAATAATTTGGGTTGAAGCAGCAATCCCACAGCGAAACCAAAGCAGGACCAGTTCTGATTCTAAAAATACCTCCTTTAATTATCACAATATGCATAATAGACTTACTTTAGAAGTGGTGACAGTAGTTCAGTTTGTACATATGTACCCTCATATATCCGGCACCATTCATCCTTTATCCAACTCATTAAATTGTCTTCATGTAAAAAATAAGCTAAGAACTGGAAAATAATATTTAATAATTAATTACAGTATTAATATTTAATTACAATGTATTTCAATATACCTGACTACTGTAAATTGGCGAGGTATATTTACTGTAGTAAATAATAATACATAATCAGTGATTTATTCAAGAATTCAAAACCACAATACAATGCGCAGTCCGGATTTAATTTATACAGACAATCCCTCAAATTTTTATGATCGTTTCTCAGTTGATGTCATCACTTTTCAGCAGCATATATTATGGGTGTGAATATATTATCAGTATTTTGACAGAAATTAACATTCTCCTATCCAAGAAAAATGTGTTTTCATAAACATAATATATGACTGAACGCCCCCAAATCTTGAACAGACTATTTTGGGATATGTAAAATATTTTTACATAAATGCTGTATTCAAAGAATTATAAGTTGAGGACAACGTCATACATACTCGTATCTCTCAATCATACGATTTTTGTGCCAGGTGTCACTCCTTCGCATTCAATGTCACTGATATCTCTGGTGATATTAATATCAAGTGCTTATGATACAACATCCCATTGTACATTTTGCCACAGAAACCATATTTTATGTTTAGGATTTTGTGACAGGGGTGTGTGAGCATTTTCCTATCACAATATTGAATAGAATTACGTCAATTTAATATAGCTGTCGTACAATACACCTATGTTGCTTTCCGATAGTAGATTATTGTCAGATTTTGAAGCGATATTGCTTGTAACACTGTTGTATTGTCCAATAATTAGCTGAAAATATTTCTGCTTAGTTGTACAAAACAAATTTATGGCTAAAGTAATGCACTAATCGCTATCCTGATAATGATATAAACCAGGAACCATCAAACACAAACATCTTAGGATGCCAGATACAGTTTCTACACATATCATAACTTACCTTATGCATATTATTCACATCTTGTGTTTTGACAAATTTTCTGAAATGCGACATACCAAGTTCGCCTAATCTGAATATCGACAGGTAACACAAAACTGTAAATAATAATACAGTACAATGTGAACATTGAATAACAATGCATATAGTGTATTTTACAGCATAAATCATGTTTGGAACTACCATTACATGACAGAGCTGTGTGGCCATCTCTCTAATAAACAAGATAATTTGCATAAATATTGTATTAATAATAAAAGTAGATATTTATGAAGTTTTAGTCACTTAATTAGAAGCATTTTCTCCTTGAAGAACTTTTTAGTCTCAAATTTACCTGTGAATAAATTACTATCAGTTCGGAGACAGTTCTGACCATCTTCCAAATAAAAGCCATGAATGACAACCTTCATTATACGAGTATGTCTAACACATCCTGAGAACACTTCAGTAACAAATGATTTTTCATCCTCTCCAAGATTCTGTTGGGAGAAAAAACAAACATATAGTTTATGTTAGCACTGTCTCATCATAGGTACAATGTCAGGTTACTGATTAATGTTGGCAAACACATTCTAAAAAAACCCTATGTACTGCACCCCATACATACCCTGACGTAGTGCTATAAAGGTTTGAAATTTTCAAAATGGCTGACAGTGTTCCCTGGGTGGCTAATTTGCATATAAAACGCATAATAATGGTCTGCTCTCAATTTATACTTTATTTCCAAAAAATTCAAGCATAGTACGCTTGAACTTTTCTAGGAAGAACACGTGGCTAACTTATACTCCATGGTTCTAACACAAATTTACATTTTTTAATTGTATACATCAGTTACTTACATTGTTGATTGCTATCATTTGTAAACCGATCGTAATTAGTTAATCACTCTATCACTTACCTTATTTTCACGGATATATTTACTTAAATGATCTTCGACCCCATGTATTGCAGGATCATATGAATCAAGAATTTGAACACAGTGATGAAGTATCTCTTTGTGATTCATCGTTATCTCTGAGGGAAAAAAAAATAACGTAATCTCTATCATCATGTATGATACTTGACAATGTTACCCAAATTTGTATACCATCACATGTAGCATTCAAACACTAATGCGTGTCAGCGAGCAAATTTGCTATACAGTGAGTAATTTGCTTTCAGACAAGCTCCCAGTGCCTGCTTTTAGGAATTAGAACCCCACTTCCCATCAACAGAGGCGGACACATCATGGAAACACCAGTATTTTGAGGTGCAAGCTACTGTAAATCGTTTTGACAAAATTTTTAATGAGCAGTATGTCATACAATAAAAATTACCTATAAAACATGTTCCCTGTCTTTATTTCTGTTATTACAATTGTAATGACATTTTTACAAACTGTTTCTCCTATACATACAGCGCACGCAAGTCCAATGGAATATTCTAAACACAATGTCATTTCAGCGCAAAGTTTGATAGTCAAGTTGGGTAACACCTGGTCAAGTTGGGTAAACAAAATTCCACTCTCTAGTATAAAATTATCATGCTTACCGGTATACTGTAGTAAAAGTAATGGACACCGGTCTGAAGCAACACTATCTAACACCGACTGAATCACAAATTTCCTTGCTAATGTGTTGCATTGGTATACGAATGCTACATGTGGCTGTATTATATTAGTAATATCATTACCCCGTCAAAACAGCACATGTACATGTACATAAACAACAATGAGTAGAGCAACAGTGCATCTGAATTATTCATGTTTGACATAATCATTCACAAAAGGAACAATGAATGTTGTAATATTGAAGTTATTTTAGAAATGTAACAAAACCAACAAGATACTGAAAGTTTCTATTTTGAATTTGACACGTCTGTGCATGCGAATCTCAGCAGGACTCAGGTTTTCTCTTATTCTTTATTCATTTTTAGAATCTTTTACCTACACATTACCTTGGATTCCACATACATGTTGACAAAAAAATCTCGTCTTGATGGTGCAACATGAAAGACCTCTAATATAGTAAAACAAAATCAGATTATAATGTCCCTTGTTTTATTCATAGAAGCATGGACGTACTAGTACGTCCATGA